CGGATATACGGACGAAACCCTTAACTCCTCGGTAGCCGTGATGGAGCGTCGTCTATCCGGGAGGCGAACAAGCCACGCCGCCGGAAGATAAAGTCCTCGACGAGATCTGTTTCTGCCATTGCCGGCTGTCCGACGATATCGACGACCGACCCGAGATATCCTTCTGCTTTCTCTGCACAAGGCTGCTCGAGGAGCAGCCTTGCTGCGGGAACAGTCCTCCAGCCGGGCTTCTTTCGTCGCGCGTAATCGATAGTGATCGCGCGTATGCGACTACGCGAGACGGCGAGAAAAAGTTTGCTGGACATTCTCATGACAAAATGCACAAAATGCATTCGACCGAGCTTTATTTCGCGGGGAAATATTTTATAGGATGCACAGGGTGCCGAATTTTAAAAGATTTGAGGACTTTCTTAACCCTTTTGCGCTACATAAGGTGTATCGTAACATGCGGGGCACACTTTGGGAGCTGATTGTACGGCTAAAAACAATGAAAAATGTCATATAATTACATGTTCTAGCTGTCTTGTGACGAATACAATTCTATCGATCGTATTATTGTACATTGCATGTTAAAAAATACTGTAAATCGATCGATTTATTGTGTTCCGAGACTACTTTTATACGAAACATCTTTGATATCCTTACTACGTACCAGTAATTAATTAGTAATCGACCATTGTATGCTAAAGGGTTTTTATCCGTAAATGAAGAATAAATAAATAACAGCTTGTTAGACTCACGATGAAGATTCCGAAAGGAATCTATTACATTTGGTGGTTATGCGTCTAGTTTAAATCGAAATTAGATTTAATTTGTATCAATACTTGAATAAATATAATATTTATTAATGACAAACAGGTAGAAGCGAAATAACTCGTTGGCCAAAGGGTTAAAATGTAAGACATTGCGCCTTCTTCCTACATTTTTTAGTTCCTCAGAGTGAAAAATCATTCGTCCGTCTGTTTCTTCGTGTTGTAACATGTGTTCCTCAAAAATATTAAATTTGAGATTGAATAAAATTTATTGATTTAATGTGCAAACCACGGACTAGTAAAATCTGATCTAATTTCAATCGTCACCGAATTATTCAATTTACAGAAATTGAATTAAATAAATCGCTGTTGCATCGGGAACGACATATAAAACAATAGATCTACGAAGAGAATCTTCAAAAATATGTTTGGAAAAATTAATGAATAAAGCTGAGAATCGTTGGTATCATCGTTAATCGTATAGTTGTTGAAATGGTGTGTCGACCAAGCGAAAAAAATAAAGATTAAAATCTGAGCGAAAATAAAACGAAGTATTACACTGCACCCTTTGATTTCGGAAAAGCGTGAAAAGCTAAGAATCTGTAACCGAGCCTGGGAAATAGCCAGTTTAACTCAGTTATGAACAAAAGAATGATCTACGAATGTTCGAACACACGTAAATTCAAAAGATCTGAGCGAAAATAAAACGAAGTATTACACTGCACCCTTTGATTTGGGAAAAGCGTAAAAAGCTAAGAATCTATAACCGAGCCTGAGAAATAGCCAGTTTAGCTCAGTTATGAACAAAAGAATGATCTACGAATGTTCGGACACGCGTAAATTCAAAAGATCAGAATTCGATAACAGTTTAATTTCATCGAGTTTCGCCGATTCGGCAGGGCTTCCTTCCTACGTGTTCGCGCAGCAGCGCGTCTAACTAATAGGGCAAATCCACTATTGCTTGGCACTCGGGTGATCAATAAGATCTCCCGATAGTGACAAACCACTCTAATTCCCTAACACGTGAAAATCCGCCGACTAATTTCCATTTACGCGACAGGCGGCCGCGCGCGTGCAGAATCGTCCGCGAGAGCAGCGAGAGGCGGATCGATAGGCGTCTGCGAGGATCTCGCCGAGCGAACAATACGTCCCATGTTCCGGAAGTCCGACGTCAGGGCCATAAGCGCGTCGTACCAGCGAGACAAATCGAATCAGGGGCATTCCGTGTCTCTATCCGTTCCGTCTTCCCGTTTCGCTCGGCTCCGTGTCTGCGGCGCTGATGTTATCGCGGTCTTGTCGCGTCCGCTGGAAATAAATCTTTTGTGGAGGCGACGCGAAGGATCGTCGCCGAGGATGGAGATCGCGGGAAAGGAAAAATCTCCGGGATGCGAGCACCATCGAGCTCGAGCGGGGAACGAGAATCGCCCGAGAGTCTTCAGAACATCGAGAAATAATTGCCTTTGGACGCCTTGATTGTCGCGAGTACGCCTCTTCTTCGACGAAGGCAGAATCATCTCTTCGCAGGACATTCGTTTTCTCTGTGCCTGCGAAACTCTAAATTACGAGAATTCTTTCCTTCGTCGACGTCCGCGACGAACGCGAAACATTTTCATTTTGCATAAAGACGCGTGGGCTGGTTCTAATGCTAAAGATTCATTGACGAAAAGAACGCTTGCTTAATCTTTTAGGAGCTTACCTAATCGAGGAAACGATTACGTTCCTGGATATCGTTCGACCGGTGCGATAATGCTACTATTAAGATGTTTATCTTCCGAGTTCGTAATTGCGAAAGATTCATCGTGTATGTACATACTTCATGACGTTTCTAACCGATTCCGAATTGCTGTCGTTTGACGCAACACGTTCATGGTATTTGTACGTGTGGAAATTAATCTCGGACTGTTCGCAACCGTTCGACCGCGTTCTGAATATCGTTACGTGTTCTCTATACTAATTATTAGACTGTCCGGATGTTGTGCATTTGTAACAAAAAATTGTAATAAAAATGAAATTTTAAACGATGAAAGTATTAACCCTTTGTACTCGAGTGGCGACTCTGAGGCGCCACTAAAAATTGCTATACTATTTTTCAAAATAATTGTAATAGTATCAGATTCGTTTATGTCTAAAAAAAACTCTTAAAATTGCAAGTTTTGTACTTGCCAATAGGCTTTCATACGCATAAATCGCAATAAATCATATAAGATAGAAACACTGTGGATCAGAAAATATGTTTAAAATATAATTGGAACAGCTTCGAGTGCAAAGGGTTAAAAGAATTTAAGGACACTTATGTATTATTTTCAACCCAATGAAATTATTAGAGGAAGGAATTTTTATTTGACACGTCTTCGTTGCAGCTGATAAAACTAGATTTTATTTTACGCAAAGATCCGCAGTCTAGTAATTATTTTTGACACGCTCTATGGGATATTCAGTTTATTGGCTGTTCTGTTGATTGCTGCATCGTATTTTCTGTAATTAGCTAGCACAGTTTATATCGATTTCATTAACTAAAAGTGACACGTTTACAAACCACAAACCACATTAATTCTTGTTCGTAACGAAATCCAATTTTAGGCTGTGTCGCGCACCGATTTTTATAAAACTTTACAGACAATAGACAGTAGAGCATCGATTACTCTAGTTTCTCACAATTGATTTAAATCTGAACGTGTCTCATCAAGGCCTACAGAAAAAAAATCTAACGCGTCTAGAAAGAGTTCTTTAAAAAAAAAACGGGGCCTAATAAAATTAATAAACGATCCTAAGCACACTCGATCAGACTTTTGTGAAAAAGATTCGCCTCGCGTGTCAAAACGAATCCAGTCGATCCTAAGAAAATGCACAATTTTCGCAAAGTATTTACTACAACCTTTGTACGAAGATACATCGCAACGGTAGAAAATGCCCGACGGTCGTCTGATTCTATTCGGCGCGTTCGGCCGCCGTCTGCGTTAATTAACGGGGGCGTTTTCGCCGTTTTTCGATCCGGTGTCGCGTCGGTTCGCAGCCACACCTGTTCGCGGCGGGAGAAAAAAGAAAGGCGCAGGGGAAAGCGATCGAAAGGGAGAAGCAGAAGAAGCGGACGGAATGTGGACGCAGGAGGCCTCGCGGTCTGGTTTTCCAGACGGAGGCCGAGAGGAAAACATGTGGGCTAGATAGGCGCAGCTGCGCTACCATCCCGGCCGAGATTAGATATCAGCAGCTTTTTCCAGACAGCCTTCGACGTTCCACGAATCGCGTAATAATCTCGTCCGAAGGTCGACGACGCTGCCCGCAACTACCTCCGTCGGATGGGAAATCGCGCTTCCGTTCCCCATCCTCCTCTCCCGCGACCCGCTCGCTCGTGTCTCCGCTCCTACGATCCAATAACGAGAGGTACGATCGTGCACGCTATCGAGAGAATTACGATTTGCGTCAGCTATGCGGCCGGATACCAAGAAGGAACGCGGAAAACGTGTGTACGCGGCTCTCACGGCGAGCCGTTCGGGATGCAATGCTGTTTTGATTGCAGTCATGTTTAGGATAAGGCGGGCTGAGCCTTTCGAATTGTTGCACGTGCCAGATAGCTCTGCGCTTCGTTTCATTTTGTCGTTCGAAAGTTCCCCGTTGATCCAACAGAATCGGCGAGACTTTCGCGCGTGTGATCAAATTCTACGCGCTTGTAAGAATGCGTCGAGGAATTGTGCAATCGAATTTCGCATCGAACACCTGCTTCGCGGTGTGCGGCATAGAACTGGCGAGGCGATATCCGTCGAGTCAAGCTCGGAAAGTTGTCCAAAATCTTTGCAGAAATAACGAAAATATCGATGCGCCGATGCGCGTGGTTTCAGTGGAAGGACTGAGAAGTTGCAGCGCGCGTTTGCTCGATCGACAAACACGGATTTTGCTGTTGATTCAAGAGTTCCGCGTCGATTCGATCGAATCAACGGACTCCGTTCAAGCCTTATCAAATTCTACATACTTCTAAGGACGCGCAAAGAGGAGCGGCGCGACTGAATTTTGCATCGGAACACCGGGTTTATAGTACAGCGCAGAGCTAACGACGATTCTTCCGAGTGAAGTTCCGCAAGTTCGCGGAGACGCCTGCAGAAATAATGATAGAGTCGATGCGCCGATGCGCGCCGCCGCGCAGAGTTTCGCGAATGCGGCTGGTTTCGTTGGAAGGAATGATGTTGCAGCAAGCGGTGCACGCGGTTGACAAATGCGTTCTGTTTTCCCGTTGAAAAGCAACGAAAGACTCACCGGTGTGCCAGGATGACGACGGTGATCTTGCAGCAGGAGACGCCGTTGATGCGACGCCGGCAATTCCTCCCGGTGATGACGATGATGATGATGGTGCCGATGGTGATGCAAGATCGAGGCGGAGGCCGGCTCGTGCAGCAGCAACCGACGATGATGAAGATGATGCGATACCGTCGCCAGGACACCCACCAGTGCTCCGACTACCAGGACGAGCACCACTGACACTATGTAGCTGCTTGCGCTCACTGTCAACAAATGGACACGTTCCGTTAGAAAGAACGCTGCCGGAAAGATTATATAACGACGAAAATGTTGATCGATGCTCGCCAAAGCCGCCTAAACTCCTCGAGTCGCGAATCGAAGAATACCGCCGGGAATAAAATATTGTTCGATCTCGCGCGTTACACGAATCGAATGTTAATTTCTGACTTTATATATTCTCGGGCTGACATAACCGCGTGTATTTTTAAGGGCCGCGGGATTTCACGGTTCTTCACGGCGCCCGAGATTATTGTATTTTTGTAGCGACCACGCTTCAGAGTTGTAGCACTATTTTCTAAACGCTCGAGCGAGAAGGGAACGGAACGAGCACCGCGCTGCACTCGAGAGCGAAACGCGTACGCCGCGCCGTAATCTGTATGGCAGTGATAAGTGATAGGCGGCTTTTTTTGCGGCCGCATTCCTTCCTAAACCATTTCCTGAGGGATGTAGACGTTCGGTGAAATATTGCTTCTGATAACTTCGGCTCTAGGAAACGGCGCCGGTTGTACATTGACGGACGATCTTGACTTTCGCGAAGAATCCGCGCAAACGTTTTCTTGTCCGCTTCGATTTACTATAATTTCGAGTAAGAGCCTATCAACAGCTTCCATCTCGATGTTCGCCGCCGACTTAGAAAATTGAAAGGCGCCACGCGTAGACGCAAAATCACCGCATAATGCTTCTTCGAGTTTCTGATCGATTCTTATCGGAACGATCGCGAAACGAGAGCGTGGTTCACGAGAACGCTGCTAGGAACTGCTCGACGAAAAAGGTAGGCAAGCATTTCGAGATTTTTCGGACGCGGGATCGAGAACGAAACAACCGAGAGCGAAATCCTGAAACGAAGCGAGGAATCAAAAGTTTCGCCACAAAGTTCCGACCTTCGAAGAGTTCGTGCGTGTTCCACATCGCCGTACGGTTTTCGTTTTTCGAACTTCGTTCTCGATTTTTGCTGCTCGCTCCACATATTTTCGCCCCCTACCGATCGTTCTACGCTTTGAAATCGTTTCGCCCTCCGTCCTACGCGTCCCGTTTTTTGCTACACACGCGTTCTACACTTTTCGCTTTTTGTGGTTCCTACCGAACGTTTTTTTCGCTTTTTCGCGCTTGTTCGCTCCACATTTTTTCACTTCTTTTCGCCCCGTCCAGGATTTCTCGCTTTTTGCAGCCCCGGCTATACATTGCAAGCTTTTTACTGTTCATTCTACATTATTCGGTTTTCTCCTCTCGGTTCGGTGTACCTCGTTTTCTCTCGTCCGCTCTACATTTTTTCGCTTTTTAATCTGTGCTCTACGCTGCTCGTTTTTCGCCGTTCGAATTGCATTTGTCGCTCCCGCTCTCTTGCCCCTCCCCCTCCGCCGCTCTCCCTTCGCCACGCCGAATTCTTCGCTCCGCGCGCTCATCGTCCTCCATTTTTCGCTTTTCGCCGGCCGCTCTACGTTTTGCCGCTTTTCCGCTCGAAATTTCTCTCCTCTCGCCCGGCGGAAAAAAGGCCGCGGGAAAGAGAAAGAGAGAGAGAGAGAGAGAGAGAGAGAGAGAGAGAGAGAGAGAGAGAGCGCGAGGCGTCGCGACGGACGTCCCGCTGTAAACGGTGGTTCCGGACGCTTTTCACGGCGTCGTTCGCGCGGCGATGTACGAAAGTATCGACTAACTTCCCGCTTCCAGTCAATTTCGTACGTGATGCGTGAAAGAGACTCGAGGCACGAACTTCCAGCCCGAGTTTCCCTCCGCGCTCCGGGGATCCGGCGCGCCGCGTCTCCACCTCATTCAGAAAGTGTACGAGACTGGAAAATTTCTTATAGTCACGCTCGGCGACGTTCGCCTAACGTCTCAAGCCCGCCTCGTCTTCGAAATTTTGCAAAATTGCGCGGTGCCGCGACCCGCGTTCCGTGAAATCTTTCTCTCCCGCCGCGCCGTGTCACCCGCTCCGATCCGCTTCGCGCCGCCTCCGCGCCGTTAGATTATCAAACGGAATATCATCTGCTTCCCTATTTTTTCTCGGGCGAAAGGGAATCTGTTCCCTTTGATGTGCCCCCACCCCTCCTCCCTTTGTGCAAATGATACCCGCCGAAAATTGCATCGGGACCAAGGCCTCCGTGTAATTCGGATATTATGTGGCAGACTGTTTCCCGGCCGCCGACGGGAAACGCGGACTTCCATTTAGCCGCGTACGGTGTTACGCGATTCAAACGTTTCGTCCCGTTGCACCGTAATGGAAGAAAAATAACGGCGTTGCTTTCTTTACGCTTTCTCTTTCAGTCTGCTCGCCGCTCTCTTCGACGTGTCTCGGACAGTTAGATAGCCCTTTTGTTTCGCCGCGAACGAACCTGTAAAAAGCTCGCCGACCAATCCAACCGGTGAAACGGGGACCGTGCTACTGACACAGGGTCTTAACCTTCCGTAAAAAAATGACGCCCTCGAACGGAGTTCGGAAAAGTTTGCTCGATCGACTCGAACGAACGAATGAGAATACGGCTGTTATCGGTTTCTTTTTATTTTTAAGCGGCGAGAAGATAGGAAACGCGCGCGAACAGCGCCAATGGATGCGAAGAGGCGTGAAAAATCCGGAAAACAGAAGGAAGGGAAGGGAGCGTTTTTCATAAAGCGACAGCATTTTCTCCGCGCCCAGCGGAGAATAAGGGCGAAAACCGTCTTTGGCGTCGTGCGCTCGTAACTCGCCGTGTGCTCGAAGAGGTGAGCGAGAAGGTGGTGTGGGTACGCGCGGGTGTGTGTGCGCGCGCGCGTGTGTGCACACGGCGACGGGCGCGCGGGCACACGATTGGTGGGACAGGATGAGACACGACCATAAAACCTTATCAACGTTCATCATCGCCGGTTCAACGGTTTGAACCGCTCGTCACCCAGCGCTCGTTAAACGCCGTACGAGTCGCGACGGTACACCCCGTGGCCCCGTGGTCACGTCGAGACGCTAACAGCGACGCCGACGAAAAAAACAAACAGGAAAGGGCGAAAAGAGGTCCCTGACCCCGGGCTGAAACTTCTGCGAAACGGTCGCGCACCGGCCGAACCCGACGTGGACAAAGGACTTTGTCCAGACGCTGGAAATTCGGTGGAACCGAGCCGGCCGGGATCGTTACCGCGGACTAGTTGCAGGTGAACGCTGCTTCCCGGAATTTATCACTGTCGGAAGGTAGCCGGGGATCAACGACAGCGAGCTATTAACGGCGATCGTAACAGTTTAGCGAATAATAAAAGAGAAACTCGAGGATTTTACTCGAGGAATATACACACGTGAATCCACGGAGAAGGTTTTTCGGTGGTTCTTCTTCGCTCACGCAACTTTTCTTTTTTTCAAGGTTGCATGCGAACACGATCGCCCAGCGCTATCATGCGCACGGTAGGCTGCGATCATTATCGGAATCACGCGATCGATGATCGAACTTAGATGAACCCAGACGCTCGATCCTCTTCTGCGGCGAACGTTGCTTTTCGCGTTCGCATCACGGATCTGGAACGTTTATTTATCCCTTGGATACAGTCTCGCGATGCCTACCGTCTTTCTTGCGCGATGCGATACGGTCTCGTCTGACACGAATTTTTATTAACGCGTCGAGAATTTTGCGAACGCTGTTTTTTTTGCGCGATATGATTTCTCGTAGAACGCGATGTATAATGAAATTGCAAAATGTGAAGCCAGCTAATTTGACTGGAACGGAGACGTTAGAACGTAATTTTCGTCGATTCGGACTTTTGGGTAATTATAATTGTATAACAGACTTGTTAAATTATTTCTTTCGTTGAATTTATATCGAATACACAGGGTGATTCACAAATTAGTCCCCATGATTTTCCAGCCCCTTCCGATGGCCTGACAAAAAAATGTTTCCCATCAAAGTTAGTTAGTATTTAACCGACAAGAAATTGAAATTATTTAAATTTGAAAACAAATTAATTTTTTATCGAAAACAAGGTAACCGTTATATTCTTTAAATGAAACTAGGTAATTTTAACTTCATAATATTGTAGGCGACTTCGAGACGAATTCAACGATCTGCTACACGATGTCCTTCGGATGATATTGAAGGAAAAATTACCATGAATCGATTGCCATAATATTTGAAATAATTCCGCGATACGTAACACCAAGGTCTCGAATGTAAATATGAACAAATGAGCGTGTTTACGCTTACTATTAATGTTCTGAAATTGAATAAATGAGCATTTGCAACATAAAACAAAAGAAAGATTTATATAAAACGAAATATTGTGACAATCGATTCATGGCAATTTTTCCTTCAATATCATCTGAAGGTCATCGTGTAGCAGCTCGTTGAATTCGTCTCGACGTCTCTCGCCTACAATACAATGCAGATAAAATTACCTAGTTTCATTTAAAAAATATAACAGTTACCTTGTTTCTGATCAAAATTCAATTTGTTTTCAAATTTAAACAATTGCAATCTCTTGTCGGTTAAATACTAATGAACTTTGATAAGAAACATCTTTTCATCAGACCATCGTAAAGAGCTGAAAAATCGTTGGGTCTAATTTGTGAATCACCCTGTATATATTATACGTTACAAGTTACACGATATATAACTCGAATGTTTTACACATTTTTAATCACACGTTTGCAGAGACAAATCAAAGATTTCGCGGGTTCGCCGGCAACCCCAGGAGCTCGTCCTAAGGTTAAACAAAATAAAGCCTGAAACTCCAGAGACAGACAATGAAGCCGCTAAGTAGCGTTGCGATAAAAAATAGTATCATCTATCACGCGACTACTCCTGTTCCGGTAATTTTTCGTCGAACTCTCGCTTCGGCATTTTCCACGGTTATCCGGCTAGGTGTCACGAGACTCGATGGACCACAGTGCGACGCGACGCGTCGAAAGTCCGCGCACGGCCATTTATTCGGGCATCGGCTCTCGAGAGTAATCCATAAATCGTGGCCGTGGAAGAGGATCACCGTTGTGATCGGTTCTGTCGCCATGTCAGAGGGCCTCTGGACGGCGGACAGGAGG